GGCTTCCACAAACTCCTTCGTGGACCTCGTATAGGAAGTCTTCTACCTGGAAATGGTGCACATTTTGTAATAATGGTCCAGTGAAGGACCTACTATAGAGATTGCCTTCTACCAACAAGCATAATCTTGCTAGCCTTAGCCTAATCTTGTGTGCCTCCTTCTTATTTTCTGGTAACTTGCCATCTCTGATAAACTTGACGAAGGCATCCATCTAGCTTGGGCCTAGCTCTATGCACATTGCCTCATACTTTGTTATTAAAGGTTCAATGCTTGGGCCCAACAGGTAGTCCACCACGATTGTTCTCGGTGTGTCAGACTTTATGGCACTGGCAAGGTTGGCCAATGCATCAGCATGATGAGTTGGGAGTCACAGTAAACCACCACCTCATTAGCTTTGTCTACTACTACTAGTTTCAATCCAGCAATCAGTGCCTCATATTTTGCTTCATTATTTGAGGCCTTGAACCCTAGTCAGATTGATTGTTCATCTGGTAAAACTAGCACCACTCTTGTCCCCACTCCTTGCCAGTTTGAACAACTATCGACAAAGAGTTGGAAGGACTCACCAATGTAAATATCATAAGGCTTCGACTTCGCTTACTTTTTCTTCTATCCTACTGGTTTGGGGTCTTGGGCTACCAACTGTGTTTCTTCCAATTCTTCTATGCATCCTAGGCTGAGATTCACAGGTCTTGGCCTCGGACTTGCACTTGGTGTAAACTAAGCAACAAATTTGGCCAGAACCTGTCCTTTGATTGTTGTCCTTGGTCTGTACTCTATATCATATTGACCTAGAACAACAGCCCATCATGTTATTCTTCAGGACAAGTCTCCGTGTTGCAATAGAGACTTACGTAGTTGCTCAGTAAGCACCACAATCTTGTGAGCTTAAAAGTAATGGTTCAGCTTCTTTGATGTCATTACCAGAGTGAGTGTCAGCTTCTCCAGAGGTAGGTGCCTCGTCTCTGCGCTTGCCAAGGTTTTGCTCACATATTATATTGCCTTATGTTCTCCTTTTTCGTCTCAGACAACCATAGCACTAACTGCATAGTCTGAGACTGCCAGGTACAGAAATAGTTCTTCTCCTAAAACTAGATTTTATAGTACAAAAAGGGTTGCCAAATACCTTTTCAAGTTGGCTAAGACGGCTTCGTATACTTCTGTCCACAAAAAAATATGTGGCCTTCTTTATTAGTTGGAAAAATGGCTTGTACTTATCAAAATTTTGGCTTATGAATCTGTTAAGTGATGCTACTTTGCCAATCAAAATTTGGACTTTCTTAGCCGTTGTTGGGCTTTTCAGATCAAGGATGGCCTTGATCTGATTAGGGCTTGCTTCAATTCCTCTCTTGGTTGCCAGATATCCTAGGAACTTACCAGACCCTACTTCGAAAGCACACTTGGAGGCATTCAGCCAAAGCCAATATTCCTTTAAGATCTCAAAAACCTCTTTTAGGACGGCCAAATGATTATAAGGCTCCTTGCTTTTTACGACCATGTCGTCGATGTTGACTTCTATCGTCTTTCTAATTAGATGTTTGAACATCTTGGTCACTAGCCTTTGGTATGTTGCCCCTACATTCTTCAATCCGGAGGGCATGACTAGAAAGAGTAGAGTCCTTTCAGACTGATGAATGTCGTCTTCTTTTCATCCAGCACATGCATGATATTTGGTGATAACCTCTGTATGCGTCAAGGAGGCTCATCTCTCCATGTCTCGAGGTGGCAACCACTAGTTGGCCTATCTTAGGTAAAGAGAAACAGTCCTTTGGGCAAGCCTTATTCAGGCTTATGAAGTCCATGCAAACCCTTCACGTGCCATTCTTCTTCTTGACTACGACTATGTTGGACAGCTAGGTTGGGTAGTTTACTTCTTGGATTGCCTGTGCCTTCAATAGTTTCTCTACTTCCTGTTCAACTGCTTCTATATAGACCAAGGTTGGTCGCCTAGTTCTCTGGATCACAGGTCTGGCCGACCAATCCACGTTGAGCTTGTGGCAAGTGACCTCGGAGCTGATCCCTAGCAGTTCATACGATGTCCAGGCGAACACCTCTATTTTCTCTTAAAAATGCTTCTAATTTTCTTTCTTCCTCCCCGGCTAAACCCAAGCTAAGGAGAAATAATCGCTCTTCATCCCCTTCTTGTACCAAAACCTTTTTCAAAGGCTCCTAGCTATTGCTGGCAAACTCTTTGCCTACATCATCCAAGAACTCTTGGTCTTTGTCGTCTACTTCAGCCATCTCTGTTTTTCTAACATTGCAAGTGTACTTCATTACTACCATGGAGCAATTTTTCACCTGCACTTAGTCTTCTCTCACCTCTTCAATCCCAAACTCAGTTGGAAACAGCAGCAACTGGTGCAAAGTTGAGGGAACTGCCCTCATGGCATGTAGCTAGGGTTTTTCCAAGATGATGTTGTATAGGGAGGGTGTGTCAATCACAGTGAGCTATGTGGTTATTATCTTTGTTCTCGAATGAATCTCCAAGTTTGTGGTTCCTAGTGGCCACGTCGGTATTCCATTAAATCTGACCATAGAGCTATCAGACTACTCGAAGTCATCCTTATGGAGGCCAAGCTCTTTGTAATATTTGACATATATGATGTCACTAGAGCTGCCTTAGTCAATTAGTATGCGCATTACCTAGCACTCTCTGATCTTCAAGATCACTGCCAAAACATCGATGTGTGGATATTGCGCCATATCCAAATCTTTGTCCGTGAACGAGATCATCGGCCTTCGGTGTCCCTCCATCCGGGGCTTCTTCTTTTGAACTTGAAAGACATGCTGCAGATGCCTCACCCTCTGCATTTCTTTCCAGATTTCATTCACATTAACCTTCAAATGGATTACGTTGATAACCCGTGGTCCATCTGCCTGTGGTGCTGAGGGTGGTGGTGCTATTGTTGCTGGTTCTTGGGCTAGCTTCACCTGTTCCTTCCTTATCTTTTCCTCGTCTACAAAGTCCCTCAGGTGCACCTATCTAATGAGATTCTCCAAATGTTTCTTTAGGGCCCAACATCCCTAGGTCATGTGCCCTTGCTCTTCATGGTAGGCACAATTCTTCTCGAGGAATCTGCCCATAGATTTCCTCGGGATTTTCTGCGGAGGCTTGAAGTAAGGCTAATTCCTAATTCTCTTCAAGACCCTATAAATTGGGATTTTAAACTATACTCACGGCTTGCAGGGCCTTTAACCCCAACTCTGGCCTGTTGTTGCTAGTACTTCCTCGAACACGCTTTGGCAAGCCATTTCTATTCTCTTGCTTCACTGTACTCTCTTTATTTTCCTTCTTATCTTCTTCTGTCCTTGCGTACTTCTCAATCCTTGCCATGAGGTCCTCCATATTTTTCGGGAGGGTCTTTGCAAGGGATTGCCGAAGTAGGCAATCATTCTCCAAGCCGTTCTTAAAAGACACGACTGCAAGTTCCTGGTTGCAAGCTAGGATTCAGTTGTAAACCTCGTAGTACCTCTTGACATAAGCCCTAAGGCTTTTGCTATCATCAATCTTTAATGCCAACAAGGAATCAACCCTCAATGGCTGTAATTTGTTCATAACAAACTTGGCCACAAATATCTCAGCTAGGCCTTCCCAACTCTTGATACATCCCTTCAGTAATTTGAGGAACTAATCTGATGCTATTTCTCTAAATGTCGACAGGAACACCTTGCACAACAATTGTTCATTCCCATTCCACAAAGATATTGCATTCAAATATAAACTAATATGAAAGTTGAAGTCAAACTTATGGTCGTAGATCTGGAATCTCGGCTTACTGAATCTCTTGGGTACCTCAATCGCATCCAACTCCACCGAGAAGGGTGTTCTTTGTTGTGCGGTGGACATAACCTTGTCGTCATTCCTCTTCCTTTGGAGGTAATCTCACAAGTCTACTTTCGTCTGTCCGAGAGCTCGGCTACCAGTCAATTTTAAGCGTTTCGGCACGCTGTTTCCCATGCTTTGATATGTCCTTTTGGACCTCTCCATGCCCACTATTTCCTCAAGGTCATGGCCTTGACCGTTGATCAGTCCGGATCCCTCAATATGTGTTTCCCTGGTTCTTCGAGTTCTGTGAGAATCTTTCCGTTGAGATTCTGTTCGCCCGACATTCTGTGATCACCGATATGAGTTCCCTAGTCTCTTGTCATGCTGTGGGACGATCAGCACTATCATTAGTCCCCCCTTCTAGGCTTGGACATTTGCTGCTAGCATCAGTGTTGCCGATATAAGGGTATTTATCCTATATTTATATATCAGTATTATTATTTATTTAGGTTAATTGCATCAAGACCTCTAAACTATTATTGAATATCGCTTTACTCTCTTATTTGTGAATCGTACGTATTGATCCACTAAAATGTGAAAATCGTACATATATACCATTTTTGGAGATGGTCTTGAAAGGGTGAAGGTGATATATTTTTATAATTGAAATGATCAATATGTACGGGTTCATACATAAAGATGTAAATTGATATCTTTTTTAATAGTTGAAGGGCCTTGGTGTAATTAATCATATTTACTCCCTTGTTGTCTAAACAAATATGGTTTTAATTTTAGTTTGAGTAAATTACATTTATCTCCCTTGAGATTTAAAAAAAAAAAAAAATACAATCAGCCTACACTTTTGATATAAGTACAATGACCTCATTTTTAGTAAGGTTAAATTGACTGAAACTAATGTAGATGATGATTAGATATTAAAATAAACAAAGATAATTATACATTTTAATATAAAAAGATATGATAATATCAATTTTTTTTTTATACGTATATCTAATAATTTATTTGTAATGACCAAAAAAAAAAATTAGCAGGCCTTCTCTCGAACGCCACGTGAGAATGATGAGTAGATATTATTTACTTGCAAGGCAATTGGAAAATTTTTAGGGGAAGGAATAAAATAGGACCCACCACTTACACTTTAGCTGATGCTTTAACAATTACTCAACATCATGATGTTGAGTTAGTGGCACCGAAAAGCAGCATGTAGATGATGCATTTTTTTTGGCAACCACAGTCAAACCATTATCTTCTCTAATTCCTTCACCATTGAAACAGAGCATTCCCCCTTTGACTCCATGGATTTCCTGCAAATCCATTGTAGATTCCATTGCTTTTTCTTTTGCCTCTGCATCACAATGCTTGAGCTGGCGAGGACACGTGTCGGTATCTGTTGCATTCAATCCATCTGGAAATTTTGATCTTTATATATATATATATATATCTGATTTTCGATCCAAATAAACAACCAAAACTACCCACCATGAATCAGAATCAGAATCAGAATCAAGGTGATCGAACCAAACCCAACACACAGCCTTCTCACTCCTCCGAGTACGCTCCCTACCCCAAGTTGGACCCTAACGATGTCGCTTCCCCGGCCCATGATTGGACCACCTCCGGCAACTCTGCCACCACCATGCCTCCCGAGTCCAACCCTTACTTAACTCCCTCTTCGGTCCCTGACTCTTCCATGAAGAATACGATGGATTCAGTGAAGGACGTGCTTGGGAAATGGGGAAAGAAAGCATCTGAGGCGACCAAGATGGCTGAGGATCTTGCTGGGAATATGTAGCAGCACTTGAAAATGGGTCCCAGTTTTGCTGATGCTGCTGTTGGAAGAATTGCTCAAGGAACAAAAGTTCTTGCAGAAGGTGGGTATGAGAAGGTCTTTCGACAAACATTTGAGACTGTTCCTGAGGAGAAACTGTTAAATTCATATGCCTGCTACCTATCCACTTCTGCGGGTCCAGTTATGGGAACACTATATGTGTCTACTGCAAAACTAGCATTTTGCCGTGACAATCCTCTTTCTTACAAAGTCGGTGATCAGACCCAATGGAGCTATTATAAGGTTCTGCTGGGGTCGTAAATTGAAGTGCTTTGGATCAAAACTTAGAGGGCGAAAAATGCGTCGTTTGGCTCTAAAAAAAATTTAATTTCTGTTGTTGAAAATTTTGAAAGCTTCTTGGCTTGAGGTAGAGATTTTTCTTACACTTTTTTATGCACTTTTACTTGATTATATGGAGTTTAGAATTGTATATAATTTAATTATAATTTTTGAAAAATTTGTGATTTATTTGCTTAAAAGAGAAATTTTGAGAAAAATAAAGAGTTAATGCCCAAATTGCGAAAGTATAAACTTGGAATATGTTTGTAAGGTTATGAAATAACTATGTTTTAAATTTGAACAAAAACAGACTTCGACTCAATTAGTTTTGAATTTTTTACCGGTTTGTGACCAAAAGAGCATTTTTAAAGAAAATAAAAGAATTACATAATTTTGGGAGCTTTTGATCAAAATAGGATATCATAGTTGAATAATGGTTGAAGAATGAGTTTGGAAAGAAAATGATGTTTTCTTGAGCATTAACGGTATTATTTTGCTTAATGTACCTATTGGAATAAAACCGATACGGTTAGAAATGGACCTTGAGAGGTTACCAGATGTGATTGTGATATGAAAACTAGTGTAGTGTTCATATTTTATGAGATGTGAAATAGATTGTATTTATCAAAATTTTTGAAATTTAATTGTCTAAATATCTGTTTAGAAATATCTGTTTTGGGCTATCGGTGGAAGATAGCCATGATTGTAATAGAAATGCATGAGATTAGGTAAATCGAACCACATTTCTCATTTGTTGCATTGGACATTGCGTTACATTCATTTCATTGGAAATGTATCTGTTTTTTAGAAATGTTTGGAAATGTATCTATTTACGAAAAGATGAATACTTGGTGAATCTAGGTAGGGGGTGTGGAACCGCGCAGTTAGGTGTTGAGCCTTCCAGTTTACTGGTAAAAATGACAGTGGTAATGCATTAGGGCCTACTTGCAGACACTCACCTAGAGATTCACAGGGCCCGTATTCATGTAACAGATATGGTTTAAAATGGAAATAGTTTTATATTTGTTATTACATCTCAGCATTGCATGCTTTATAAAAAGAAAGATAAACTGTTTTATCATGAGTATGGCATGAGCATACTCCTCTTTAGTATTGTCATTGTTCATATGCTGTGTAGTATATCTCTATTGGGTTGTGGCTCACCCTATAAGGAAAACCATTTCAGGTACAGGTGCTATGCCCTCCGCCAAAGTAGTGACTTGGGAGGACTCAGAGCTAAGGCTTCATTTTTATTTTATTATTATTTGTTGAATGTAAGCCCAGGGCTGAATTTGTGTTGAATTGAAACTCCATTTTGTGTAACCAAGAATGTTCTTGGATAAATTTGTAAACCTGTAGGGCGCTTGTTATCTATTTGGCTTCCATTTTATAGTTGTTGTAAAATGCATGTTTGGGATTGGAACTGGGGCATTGAGATGTGAACAACATGTAATTGGCATTTGGGATGTAATGAAAATGGGTGTATGGATTAGTTAGCTATATATATGTGTTTGTCTATCAAGTGAATTTTGTTGCATAAATAGATATATCCTGCCAAATTTTCGGGGTGTTACATTATTGATAAAAAATAACCTAAATAATATATAAATTAGAATTTTGAGAAAGATTGATATAATTATGGGAAAATTATTTATAAATCTTGTTAGGGAGATTTATGTTACATATGGTCCTAGTAAAAAATTTACGTTCCCATAAGTCCTATGAGAAGTTTGTTAACACGTTTACTCTCAATATTAGTTGTTAATATCATAAATAATGGTAAAACCATATATAGGAAATTGAATATTATCATAGATCATATCTATATACATCTAGTAAAAGACGACGATGTTGCAGAACTCGCTTGTGAGAAACATTAAAAATAAAAACAGGAAGGAGCACAAACTACCAGAGCATGATTACCCCTTGGTTTTAGAGAAGTTGAAGAAACCACCAGAGGGTGGTGTGGTCGAGGTGGGTAAGTGTGCTGATAAGCAGATCATGCATGATGATATTATAGAGGTTGATAACCTTGCAAAGCCAGAGAGAAAATTTTCTCGGTTTGACTTGACTAATCGTTGACCAATTTGGAAGTTGTTATCAACACAAGAGAAACACAAGCTTAAAGAAGCTTATGAGAAAGACGGGGATAGGTACGTTTCCAAACTTACTTTTATCAATTTGTAATTGTACATGAATTTAGTGTTGAACAATGTCTTGTTGAATTATTAGTGTGCAAGTCTGGACTAGGCAGAATGGTTCCAATTATGTGTGTTTCAATGACATACGAGCACTCATTAAGGGACTGACGTTACGAGGCAATGTAAGTATGGTACACATAATTATTCATACAACGTCTGAAGATTGTGAACCTGCGAGCGCACTTTAATAACGTAAATGTATATGCATCAAGTAAAGTCATAGATGTTTTACTTGTGCACATAGGTAATTGATGTGTACGCGGAAATGCTGATGTATGAGCAGCAAATCATGTCATCTGGATCCATGGATGAGGAGAAATCATATATTTTTAGCACTATGTGTTTGGTAAGATGTGATGTTTGGTAAATTGTTGTTAAACATTTTATGTTTGTGGTAACTAAAACAAAATCGAATGCGTGCAGCCTACGATTAGAGATGTGGATGAAGATGTACGTGACAGGTACTTGGCGGTCCGTGCCTCTGATGCCCTCAAAGTCAGATATATTTAATTCCCAATCCACTTAGATAACCATTAGACACTAATGGTTTATGACACCAAGGAGGGATTTTGGATGCATTACAACTCATTGAAACCAAGACGTAGGAGAGAAGACAAACATTACTGGGAAGCATGGTTATTGGTTGGTAAACGTGAATTAGTTAATTTCACTGGCCTTCATAATTTACATTTGACAACAATACTAATTACTTGGTAATGTAAATTTGACAATAATGTAGAAGGGATACTTTGAGGATTACATAAGGCATAGACTGAAGGTTGGCACAGTTGAAACGCAAGATTTGGTGAAGGAACTTTTAGTGGTTGATTATTGTCCGCAACAAAAAGCAGACTCGTAAGTGTGAATTATGTTTATTTGCAATGAATGCTATTAATGTTTCCATACATTGCATGTGGTTCATTTTAATGTATTTACTAATGTCTATAATTTTCTTAACCGGGCTGATTGTGAAATTATAGCATGCTTCATTATGAAGCAACTCGTGCGTCGCCATGTTGTGGACAAGTCAATGGGAGGGAAGAGTTGCAAGATGATGCAAGCCGGGATGGTGAAGTCATTTGTGAACAACCCAATAAGGTCATTTGTTGATGACAGTTGACAATCGGAACAATCTTCCAATGGTGCCAAATGGGTGCATCGTGTTTTTTTTTTTTTTTTTCTCTAAATTCACATTTTGCAAGTTTTTGAATGGCACAGTATGTTTGATGTTAAAAAAATTTTGTTGTTATCATGTTTTTGGATGTTTTGGGTAGCATTGTCAATACAATTTCTGATTCGTACATTTTTTGTGGGAATATGTTAGAATGGTTCAGTCATAACTTTTTGTTTGCACTTGTTTGTTATAATAGGGTGGTATTTATCAGTCAATAATGCCAGTAGGAATGTTAATAGGATTGAGGAATGATGAGCTAACATTTGAATAGTATTATATGAGATTTGACTTTCATTTTTTGTAATGCACATTATACTCGTTAATCTAATATCTAGGTTGTCTAAATTGTTGGCTTTGACATTCACGTTACGTGTCGATGGTAGATCGTTCTGACTAAATTTGACTTCCCATCTTTACTACCCAGCTTGTGAATGTGAATGTATGAGAGTGTTTATTACTTGTCATAGGGAGTTAAAAAATACAACTAACACGACTTTCGGTGGTGGTTTTTGTTGGGCAATTTTGGTTCACGTTTCAAATGGCATATGTCACATTGTCTTTCAATGTGTCACATTTTCAAAGTATTATATACCCATTATATATGATGTCACATTAATGTTGCGGATGTCTCACACATCAATCTTTGCACCTCACATTCTCGATTATGTTGTCGCATTATTCAATAAATCGGCATGCATACCGTTACTTTATATGTTGTTATAATGTCAATTTGCGTATTCTCTCCATTTTATGGCGTCACATTCGTGTTCGTAGTGTGTTATATGTCACCCCTCATGTAGCACATTCTTGTTCGTGTGGTCACATTGGTCAATGACACTAAGGTTCCTTTGGCAAGTAATTTTTAGTTTTTTTGGTAAAAAATATAAGAGTAAAAATCACATTTGTTTGGAAAGGATTTTAGTTTTTTTGCTTCAAATTACAATCCCACCAATTTCCAAGACTAGAAGTTCTAATTTTTTTTTTAAACTTTATTGTGGGGAAGGATTGTTCTGACTATTTTTTTTTTTTTAAACTTTCCAAGACTAGCAGTTGTCGGTGGTGTGACCGGTCTATTGATAGTACGCACAGTACTGGGTAGTGTCATGACCAGTTGGAAGACGACTAGGGAGAGGCCGAGGCTCGAGAGGTTTGAGATTCCCCTTTTCAGTGAGGATTCGAAGCGCCTTAGACAAAGGCATATAGAGGGCATGGAATACCCTGCGACCTCAGGGTAGATACTTCGAGGCTTGTGGACTTTTATTGGATGTACTAGCAAAGGGATCGGCAGGTGCTGCCTTGGCTCTCTGATCTTTTCCAGGTGTAAGGTTAGGATTGGAAGGAACGGTTCTGGTACGACGGTTCCTATCCCGATTTTTCCCTTGGCTTGAACTGCTCTTGGTCTGAGTGGGGAAGATGTCATCCACAATCTTAGCAATAACCGCGAGTACTTGTTGCTGATTTAACCCTCCGATTTTCAGAGCCTCAACGGCTTGCTGGAGTTGTGCATAGGGATCTGCGTCTGCCTTCGTTTTGTCCTTTTCACTAGCCTCAGCTTGGTGGACAGTTTGGGTTACCTGATCAAAGTGAGGCC